GAGAGAGAGAGAGAGAGAGAGAGAGAGAGAGAGAGAGAGAGAGAGAGAGAGAGAGAGAGAGAGAGAGAGAGAGAGAGAGAGAGAGATGACAAGTGCTCATTTGATATTGTGTTGTGAAGTGTGGAGGTGTGTGTGTGTGTGTGTGTGTCGGTGGGGGCGACAGAGTGGGAGAGAGGGAAAGGAGAGAGGGTGGGTGGGTGGAATGCACCCACACTCACACGCGAGCAACACAGAGAGAGAGAGAGAGAGAGAGAGAGAGAGAGAGAGAGAGAGGAGCTTTAAGAGGTCCAATGCATTGTCATGCCAGTTTTGGGGGTGTTCCTTTCTGACAGGCATTAGAGATGAGTCTGCTGACACTAATATCTGTGCAGGTAGAGGAGTGTCTTCTCTTTCACTCCCCTCCCCTCCCCTCCACTCCCCAATCCCTCTGCTCTGTCTGTTATCCTTATTCCTCTTTGCCTGTTGTTTGAGCCCCTTGGCTTCACTGGTTTTAGAAATCTCCCTCCTTTTTCTTTCGTTTCTTTTTGTTTTTAGAAGTCTCCCTTTCCCCCCCATCTCGGTAGATGTAGTTACGTGTTAGTTCCTCTTCATCGTCTGTTTTCTGTTTTTTTCCCTTTTTTCTTTTCCTTTTAGGGGGTAGCTCGCCTGTTTTTGTTGCTCGTCCCATCCTGTCCCTTTTTTTATCTGTTGATGTCATCATTTTGAACCTGCTCTGAATGGCCAACCGATCGACATATGCACAGATGTGTTGACGTTTGATCTGTTGATGTCATCATTTTTAACCTGCTCTGGATGGCCAACCGATCTCACGGTCTGCCGGGCCGTTAGCCCTCCGTCCACGCATAGAAAATCCTGCCTGTTTGCGCTACTGGTGCTTGCTAACGGAGCGCCGCCTAATAAGAAATGTATATCTCATCTTTATTTATGACTGGAGTTCCCTTGGTGCCAGTGCTCTCTTTGTGCGCACTCTCTGAGGAGATTGCTCTTTATTTTTATTATTTTTATTTTTTTTATTTTTATTATTTTTTTTTAGTTTATTAACTTCAATTTTTTCTTATGATTATTATTTCTGTTTTCTTTTGTGAAAGCTGTTTATAATTTCCTCTCACTAACTCTTCATATGTTCTCTACTGGTTTTCGTTCATTCACAGCGACTTCTTTCTGGTGTTATATCCGTAGAAGCCATTCAAGTCAATTTTATCCTTACAAGTCTTAAACCACCCCTCTACCCGATGCTGAAAATTTGGGGGACCGGTAGCACAGGTTCATGAGGGCTACCGGTAGCACAGTGTGGGGGGGGAACCGGCAGATGGCGGAAAAATGGAAATCATGCTGCGAGGAATTGCTCCCACGACTTATTTCGTCGTGGTTGTTGAAGTGTTTTTTTGGGAGGGAGGGAGATTGTTCTGGTTGTGGGAAAGATGTAGTTCTATTGGACGCTTAGTAATCTGAGGTCTGTGCAGAGTGATCCTTGTCACAAGTGGTTAACGGGGTCCTCACTTTCGAGTGGGTAACGTGGATCCCGACTTTCAGCTGCTGACTCAAGGGTCTAATACTGAAATTAAACCCTATAGGGGTCTGTGAGATAACCTTCGAAGAGATAACCTTCGAAACTTACGGGCACGTAGGTCCAATCCATTTGTTAGCAAAGGCTTTGGTAGGAGGGAAGGCTTTGGTAGCTTCCCTCCTAGTAAAACTGTTACCTATCCAAAGACCTTGATAGCTCCCTTTGTGAGATAACCTTCCTATCGCGTCCAATCTATTTTTAGCAAAGCCCTTGATAGCTTCCTTCTTGCCAAAATTATGACCAATCCATTTGTAAGCAAAGGCCTTGATAGCTTCCTTCCTCATAGGGGTCTGTGAGATAACCTTCTTATAGGGTCGAATCCATTTGTTAGCGAAGGTCATGATAGCTTCCTTGTTGGCGAGAAGGTCTGCGAGTCCAGCTAAGTTGTTTATCAACTTTTCTCAGGCTTGTACTGTACTTGTCCTTACGGTTGTGTCCATCATCATTCCTACTACTTTGCTTGTCTATTAAAACCAAATGGGTACTCCTTTCTTTTTGTGGAGCATCTTACCCTCCATTGTACCATGAGGATCGCTAGTCTCACATTCATAAGGGCACTTTTAACCCCTCCATCGTACCACGAGGATCGTCAGTCTCACATTCATAAGGGCACATCTGATGGTCAATTATTGTGCATGGAAGATGTCAATCATGCGAGGGTAACGACTCAGTTCGGGAGTGAGGGCGTGAGACCGCTTTTCCTAGCGTTCGCTATGCTTCATCCTTCCACACCGAGCCTCCCAAATAAAATAGTTTGAAATATCTGGGGCCGGTCGATTGAGTGATGATATGTCAAGGTTGTTGCCTTTTGAGAAAATAAGGAACCCATGGCGTACTCCTGTTTGGTCGCTCGCTAGTTTTGAACAGAGCGCTGTTTGCACTACCCTGGTTCGCTGGGGAGGTCACAAAGCCAGGTGACCCAATGTACAAACTCATAAGGAGTTTAGCAACAAACTTCATTCGGAAGCCTTTGTTCGGCGACGACGATGCCTTCTGTCTAAATGATAAAGGTGTGTATTCCATTCTTGCTCCATTAGGCGGATGCGCTTCATTTATGCGTTAAGGCGGGGTGGAAAATGTTGTTTAGCTAGTTCGCAGAGGAAAAAGCTATCTTCATTCGGAAGCCTTTTCACGAGAGACAACGAGGTCTTTCCGTCTTAGGCGGGGTAAGATGTTGTTTGCTTAGTTC